ACCAATAGCAGAACGGGTATGTATATGTGGTAAAGGAGAAGTCGAAGATATCTCACATGTTTTATTGTACTGTGAGCTATACCAAGTTTATAGGACAGTATATATTCTCCCCTTATTAGAGAGATTGCCAGGGAGGGCAGACAATTTTTATGTAGGCTTTCTCCTCCAAGACTCAAATCCTTCTATCACGCATGCAGTGACAAAATACTGTGTTGCGGCAATGTCCACAAGAAAAAAATTGGTTACAGACCTATAGTTGTCAATTTGTGCCAATTTTCGGGAGATATCTCTAATAATGTTTGGAACATTATATTTACTCACACATTAATCGGCTATCCACTCACGTAAACTAGGGAATGACCCTAACATTTTGAGAACATGTATTTTCTTAACAGGGATGTTATTATTTACTATTAATGTTAGTACTATTTTTACTATTATTATTATTATTATTATTTAATATATTGTAAAAAGTGATGGCTATTGCTGGTCTATGAGCGTAATAAAGTTTATTGTATCATTTGGTCACCAGCAGGTGGCAACAGTCAGCTCCAAAATCCCTTCCAACCCTATGATTCAATTATCAAATAAAACATGCATTTTGAATAAATATAAATAAAGATAAGTAGGTAGGTAGATAGATAGATGGATGGATGTAAGGGGAGATAGGGAAAGAAAGGAACTAGGAAGATAAAGAAAAAAGTTGAGCAGATAGAGCAGTTGGATTTGTTGCACTTAAAACTATACAACATTGAGAATCTGAAAAATTCCCACTAACACTGCAAGGGCTAGGAATGAAAAATTGTGAATGAAAAAATGTGCCTGTGCATGTGTTTACATTAAAAATTTTAAAAAATGCATCAGAAGAGAATGGATAACTGATGTGAAACACAACAGAAAATTTATCTGGCAGGTATTTTGGAATAACTGGAGTAACAAAATGGAGATGGCTGACATAAGTTCTTAGCTGGTTTTAAAAGGTTTTCCTTTTTAGAAATGCATCACAAAACCTAAAATACTGAAACTGTATAAGTAGTTGTGTTAGAACTGAATCACCTGGAATATTCCATTTCTTTTTCAAACATTTTTGTGGCATGGTATGGTAATTTTTTTTAAAAAAAATCCTTTTAAAAAACCAAAATCTGTGTTGAACACTATAAGTCATTTTCAATTTGGGAGGATTAGCTTCCCCAAGAAAACAGCTGGAGAATTCCAGAACAGCTGAAGAAATGGAATGTTCTAGAAATGTTCTGGAACAACATAACTTATGTCAGCCTTCTAATATAGTCCAGACTGGAAGTATATCCAGATGAACTAATTCTACTTTATTATAAAGTTAGAATTAACAAAATTTTAAGAATCTGAAAGTACATTTCTCCCCTGGTGCTTTTATAAACCAAGAAACCAAGGGAAGCAACTCTTCTAAGATATTTCCCACACCCACATTCCTGCTAAGCTGCCTCTTATCCACCTGTTCCCTGGTTGCATCCCCCCAAGGTCATTTCCACATACCACTGCATCTATAGCCTCTTATTGACTAATAAAGATCATTTTTCTTTCTCCTCATACTCATCTGAAGTGTTACTACTTCTACCATAGCATTTCTTTGGAGAAGATTTAGACCTGTTTTTCAAGTATGGGTTTTATTATGGCTAGTCTTTATAGCTGGGTTGCTTAACAATCATCTGCATTTATGATGGAACAGGAGCTTTAAAGTCCACAAAGCATCCCAGGCCATTGTAAAAACTTTGTGCTGCAATCTGGTCACTTGACCACATATTGGGCACTTGGCAAATGGTCAAATCTATGAACACTCATGGTGTTCCATGGTCACGTGACTATGATTTGTGACCTTTTTTGTTGGCTTCCAACAAAAAAGCCCAACGGATTCACATTTACAACTGCCGTTTGTCTAATCACTTCTGGTCATGTGAGTACATCAACTTATGACCAAACTGACTTATGATCAGATTTCCAGTCCCAACTGTAGTCATAAGTCAAGGATTATCGATATTGCTTTTCTTCATTTATTTGTTAATCATGGTACAACTCTTCCACATTGACAGTGTAAGCTTGTTTAGTTAAGTTTTTCTTTTCATTTCTATTCCACGGTTATACAGCAGAATCTTTTCTGAAATGTTTTGCAGGTTGAGTGTGTAACTCCAGATTTTCAGGGTTGTTGGCTTTGTCTATAGTTTGGCAGCATCAACAAATCAGTTCAGGATTGGGAGCTTTAATTTCCCAATTACTTCTCAATCACTGTTTACTGCTTAGTTCAAGGGTACAAAAACACGGCCTACCTTCCCAAAGCCCAAGGGACAGAACAGAGGGCTGTTTCTTTTGCTCTGGGGTGTCTGTATATCTGTGTTAAGGAGCAAGCATTCCACAATAACTTATGATGATGCTTAAAACACTCGTTTTAATTCCTGAAGTCTTGTCATCAAGTCCTCTGTTACAGTCCTCGAGGCAACAGATATTCTGTAAGCCTGATGTAGTTCTTTCCCATTAAGGTCATGTATAATTTTCAAATAAATTATGACATGAAGAATATTATGTGAAACTTAGAGTTACTACTTTAACTTGGATCCTACTGATTTCATTAAAGGAAACTGCAATGCCAAGATTGCATTTTCACAGGTACTACTTCTTGATCAGGCTTGTCTAACTCATTTGACTAAAATTAGTAATTAAAATTAGGAAGTTATATCATAAAGATCTATCCAAAAGTCAGGCTTAAAATCACAGCAAAATGTTGTTTTCCACAAAAATGAGAGGAACAGCTGTGTTTAGCAATATTCCCTTATAATACTATGGGTATACTAAAGTCAAAGAATACAAAATTACAAACCATTCCTTGCCAAGGTGGTGGTGGTCCCATGTTATGAAATTCTCTCACATAATCATTGTAAGACTACAAAAAACACATATACAAGAATGTCAAAATCAAGCAATATTAAAATCATCTACCTGTTACTACCAATGAAAGACCATAAACTTACCCCATTTAAGAAGACATCTCTCCGAACTCCTGAAAATCGCCTGTTGAGAGTAAGATTTATTAAATTAGAAACAAATACTCAGATGCCTTAGATTAGGAAACAGCAGTTAAACATCTCTTACCTGTCTATATCTTGGTATCTGGGGTCTTTTAAATATCCTGTTTAAAATCAAGCAGCATTACGTATCATATTTATTATATTTGACAACATAAATAGCCATTACCATCTTTACTTTAAGCATGCTACTGCCTTGCTACTCATAGATCCTTCTCTTCCCAACCGGCCTAAGTATTTCAACTTTAAAATAACTATGTAACACTTTATGGCAAAATATAGTAAAAATGTTGCTTCACAGGAGGCTGAATCTCAACTAATACCATCTTGTATCTTTAGGCAGACTGCCTGGGGCTCCTGGAATCTATTCAGACATATAATATATGAAAGATCACTGTTCCTATGCTCCCTCCACCCCACATACTAAGACACTGTGTGTGAAATTAAGTGAACAGTCTGTGATGCTTGGATTATTCAGAACACAAGGCAGTTTATATAAACTCAGTTATTGTTTAACTTCTGGTTTTACTTAAAGATTGACAAGAACTAGTACATTCTTTTGAATGCCTTCATATTACTGTTACAATGCCTATTTGTTCCAAAGAAGTCCTGTTATTGCATAACTATTTTAGAATCTTATTAGTGTGATAGTTATTCCAAGAAAGTCCCCTTATTTTTTATTGTTATATTCTCATATTTCTATTCTTAATCCGAGCTTTTATGACCTTAAATTTAAATAATTTATTTAATATTCACATTCCCACATGATGACTATTGTAATACACAAATCTGTAAATTTGTGTATATACATTTAAACAGTAAGATATTAACCTGGTCTTTGGTGAAACTCAGTGGGATAATCAATCCTTGGTTTCTTTCTGCTGTTATGAATATCATAATCCTCTGGTCGACGCCTACATAAATTAGACAATAATTAAGAATTGTTTGGAACAACCTCTATAAATACAACATCTTTAGAAGGACTCACTGGAACAGCCCACAACTTTTTGGAGCTTTTTTTGGTATGTTTTCTGTAATTCGCTATATGAGTTTCCCAGAATTTGTTACAAAAAATGTATTTGTGGTAGCAACAAAATGTATATTCTTAACTAGAATATTATGATGTGAAGATTTTAGATGCTTAGCAGGGAACTTTATCCAACCATACCTACAAGAAATCCAATCTTAATACAAATTCCTTTAAAAGTTCCACTGACTTTTTGGGGTCTGTGTTCTCTTTTGCAGCATGAAATCTACTTGATGCTTACACAATTTCTACATTGAAGTTCACCCCTGGAAGCATAAGCTGCATAATTTGTGAATACCATTTTATACACTTGATCTGATTAACTGTCTTACTTGGTCTGTCAAAACTTGATCAATTTCCAACATGCAAATCCCATTCCTGCATAGACACAATTACTTGTTATTGTACAGAAAAAAAACATTTAAGGCATGAATATTTTAAAAAAATCAAATGTTGGAATCAAAGAGCCCATTATTTTAGGCTGCTATACATTTTAGTAAAATGAATTTTAAATTGTTTTTTTTAAATGATTTTTAAGATTTCTTGCTCTAGTTTGCTTTTCACTCATTAGCATGTTACCTGGTGTTCCCTTCCAATGCACCTTCACAATTTCTATAACAGGGAAACATGAATAGACCATAAAATGATTCCTCCCGCCCCCCCCCACTTATTATTTAAATTATCATTCTTAAGAATAAGTATCACATTCTGAGAAAATAAAGCAACTGTACGTACAGCAAAAAAGAGATTTAGAAAATAGCTGGTGTAAAGAATAAACATACCGCTTTCTTGTAGTTTGAGTGTGCACTTACGACCGGTATAATATATGATAGTAACAGTTCATATAGTAGTCCAACTACTGACTTTAAGCTGAAAGCCACATACATAAATGGAGGCCCTGGCAGGCTTGAGAAGGTGTGATGGTGTTATAATGTATAGTTTGCAGTCCATTGCAAAACCTTCACTTGTAAATACTTTATTGCACTGGAAATCTCTTAGGGCTTAACTTCAAAAGCCATCTTGGTGCTCAGTCCTTTTATGCCCAAAGAAAGGGGGGTTGCTGCCAGGATTCCTCCTACCTACAGGTTACAGTGTCCTTTAAGAGCAAGGATAGGGGGACTCGTTGGATATCTGTACCTACCAGAGGACATTTCCACAAACTGGAAAGTCTAACCGAAAAGGTTTCAGCCCAAACCACACAGTCTTTAGCAGAAAAGCTTTAGATTTATCAGAAAACAAAGTGGCTACACAGGGATCAGGGAAACGTGTTGGATAGAAGGGATTATTATCAGTCCTTTGCAAAGACTCCTCCAATTCTGTAACAAGATATACCCTTCTTTCTGGGGAATGTTGGTAAGTTCATAGAGTAGTGATCAATAACCATGGCGATCCTCTAAAACCACTTTTAAGTCCACGGGTGCTGCCAGCATCTGGAAAGGTTGTATACATTGACACAGCAACAGCCATTCTTTTTGGTTTGTTGCCGGGTCTCCAAGGGCTACTTCCTTTGGAGAGAACCTACGGCTTCCAGAAGCTCAGCAAGATGTAAGAGAATATTTGGCAATGGGCATAACCACAGCACGGTGATACAATTTGAAACAGTCCCAAACACGCTCTTCTTGAACAGCAAAATATTATAAATATTTTATCCTCAAAATGAGGCGACCATCTTCTGCAAAATTATAAGTGATCCTGATAAAAGTCCCATATTTGACAAGGCTTATCCAGAGATATACCTGAAAGAAAAGGCTTTTACAAGATATTAACACATTTTGGAACACACAGACTTGATTTTCCTCCACCTAACCTGGTCTTGAAAAAAAAATGGCTTACCTACAATTGACTAAAAATCTAGTCAAAGCTAGATTGACACAAACTTTTCTGTGTAAGCAAAATGTCCCCATTTTCCTCTTGAAAGTGACAAACTGGGGGAGAGGGACAATGTGAAATCCTCAATGAAGCCACAAACCCGTCCATGCAGCTTGATGTGAGGATTTTCTCTCTTCTTGATTGCAGGGAAAGCTTTTTGATGAATCATATTCCTCCATCACGTTATTCTGACACATGTGCCTATTATCAGTCCAAAGAATGTTTCTAACCTTCCCACATCTCGGAGTGGCTCTCGACGGGATGGACGTCCTCTTGACCGGGGCTGAGAGTGCATTCTTCTCTTATGACGCATTTTATGAATGACTTGATACAGATCAATACTTTCATCAGGAGGGAATAGGAGACAAAGTTGGGTTCCACATTCAAGCTCAATTTCCTGTAATAATTAAATGTTGATGTTATAAGTTCATGTCAGAGTCCACACAAAGGAATCAATGTTTAATTATATGGTTTCATTCTAAGAACAAATGAATACATTTTATGAATGCTAATGCCTGATTTAAGAAACATGTGAAAGCTTAAACAGGTCTGATTAAGCCACTTAAGTTGCATATGTGTAGTGATTTTAGTGAAATTAACAAGAGATGGATCAAGGTAGATGTATAGTTGCAGGTAGTCCCTGACCTGTGACCACTCAGTCAGTGACCATTGTAAATCATGATAGTGCTGAACAAATGATGGTTACAACAATCCTCGGAGTTCTGGCTATCCCAGCATCCTTGAAGACAAGTGATGGCAATCTGAGTGCTTGGCAACTCATTTACATTTCTATTTGCCAAGCCCCCTGCAATCATGTGACTGCCATTTGCACCCCTCTTGCCCAGCTTCTCCAGAAAGTGAATGGGAAAACTGGCAAAGGTCACAAGTTGCTCAGCTAAGTCTCCTTTAACTCCTCTGTGCTCACAGTATGTTAGCCTCTTGCACACCTCTAGACAGTCCTTGACCTACACCCCCCTCCTTAACCCATATGGAACCTCTTGCACACTCTCCAACCTGCATAGTGCCTCTCACATACTCTTGTGCATGCTCTCCACCTGCACCTGCACCTCCCCCTCTCCCACCAACCCTCACCAGCACCTTGTCCTTTTTCTCACCTAGCTGCTGCCACTTACCTGTTTGTGCACCTCAGACTTGCAACTTCTTGCCAGCTTTCTCAATGACTTTGGTTGAGGGAAGTTGGCAGGAATTTGTCTCACCTAACAACTAGGATTCAGTTAACGATGGCAATTGGAACTACAGGGATTTCTATCACTAATTTGTGTGGTCACGCTTTATGAGTGCATCACTTAATGATGGAAATTCCAGTTCCAATTGTAGGTCAAGATCTGCCTGTCTTTATTTAATTTAATGCACATCCCAACTTAAATATACATGCTTAGTAAATAGGCAATTTTCATACAAGTTCTTATCTCACAATTTGTGAGAATAGGGAATGCCAATCTATGAGATGATGTGGCTGTGATATATTTACCAGTGTCGTTTTATCATCTTTCTTCCCATCAGTTCAATTGCCATTTTCCATCATTACGAGTGCTTTGATTAAAAAGTTGAATGATAGTTCTTCTGGTTTCATGCAACCTTGTTATAGAAATCTGCTTACAATGGTATATTTTATTTTAAAAGAACTTGATGTACATCCTCAAATGCTTTAATAAAATATTTGGCAATCTTTTTACCAAAATGTGACAATATTATATAGATAATTGTCAAAGATGAACAACTATATCACAAAAAACCTATTAAGAATATTTTAAAATACTGGAATTAATATTTTAAAGAGCAGTCAAAGGCAGTTGACAAACCTGTCCATCACGTCCAATCTTTACTGGCTTATGTTCATTCCAAGGATTCGTCAGGTGAGCAGATTTTGTGAATGGCAATTCACGCCTAAAAATATGATATGATACACTTTTCCATATATTGAAGTGTAACTTAAAATATGAGAATCCAACTATCAATGGATCTACCGAATGAAGCAGAGCTTAGAGGCTAAATCCCATGAGATCATAATGTTCATCTCACAAAGCAAATATTACAATCTCCAAAATTTGTCTTCAGTTCTGATTAAGCAACTCTAAGGCAGGTAAATTTAATCTTTCTTTTATTTTTTCTTACTATCCAATGTTCACAAATCCCCTCATCCATACCCTTGGTTTTGCAACAAAGGAAGCAGATTGATAAAATTAGTAATTTTTCCTATATGAATTACATAATAATGGTGCTGGAAACTTTTTGACCCAGTGCTCCTCATATCTGTCATCCCACAAAGTTAAACAAGGCAAGAAAAGAAGGGGGGAAAGAGTCTGGAATAGAAAAACAAATTTTGGATGCTATGGGAGAAGCCAGGAAATGATTAGTTTTGTTCTCCTTGAAATCTAATCAATCAGATTAATAGACTGATTATGTGCCATAACTATTAGTGACTAATAGTGAATTTTCTCCATAATAATCAATCAGAGATAGGTTAATCATCTGAAATAGGATCATTTTTTATTTTCAGAGAACTAAACTTTCTACTTGATTTGGGGAAAGACTATGAGGGATTATTTTTAGAATCAAATTCCAAGGTTACCTTTGGCAAACTTATTTGTTATTACTAATAAAATCCTCTAAACAATTTTTGAAATTAGGTTTCACTATTTTCATTTATATTTCTAATGAAAAAAACTGGAAGGGATTCCAGGCTCTGGAACAAAATGGAAGGGATTCTAGTCTTTACTAAACTGAAAGGAATAAAACAGACAATACTTAAATTTTTTAAATAATGTTTCTTAAAATCTTAAGTCACATTTCTAGCACAACTTCCCACTGGGGAAGAAAAAAGCAACTTTTTGCTTCTCTACCCATTTTACACTTAATGTGATTTCAAAATCCAAGGAAGGAAGCTATCATCAATAGAAGACACATAAGACTGTAAGAATGATAAGAAGAAAAGGCAGCAATTCAGAATCAGTAAATATCTTAAAACAAAAATCACAGCAGAAGAATTATAAGAGAGAAAGAAAAATGGGGTAGCAGAATCCCTGACTTTGATGCATCAAAATATGGACCTCCAGGCTACTGAAATAATTTTATCTTTCAATATTACACTCAAAGTCAAGTCTCTCTTGAGATAGGCTCAACTCTTGGCACCTATATGATCATATCCATATTGTTTTCTTGGTATCAATATAGATATTATTCACACTGCTGTCTTCCAAGATGTTTCTCAACTTCCCATTTGATCCTACAGTCCAGGTATAGGCAATTAATTTTCCCAAGGGGCCACATGAGAACCTGGGACTGTTGTGGAGGGCTCTCGACACCACCCCAAACCTGATGCTGCTGTTGCCCCCGCCAACGCTATGGGCTGGACAGGGACAGCTCATGGGCTGGATGTGGCCCGTGGGCCATAAAAAGGCCAGGTCTATTATGGCCCTACATATTCTGGTGATCAAAGTACTAACTAGAGGTGACATTATTGGGGGTTTTCTTCTTTTTTCTTTAGTTAAGACAAGTCAAATTTGGATAGGGGCTCTGGCATGCAAATATTACTTGCTACATAAACATTATATATCTATTCTATAATAAATAGCCTATCCAACCACATTTTATTTTCTAATTTCCACCCATTTTACCTGCATATCCAATCTATCTTAAATACTCCTCCCAGCATTTTTGCATTCATTCCTGCAGGTAGCACCCAATGTATGGGAGATCCTCCATGGTGAGATTCAGAAGCAAGCCTTGCAAATCCTGTAAGAATTAAAAAAAATGTGATGAGGCCCCTTATCCAAATAATTTTTGATTTATGAATGCAAGTATTCCTTTTACAAGTAGTCCTCAACTCAGAACCACTCATTTAGTGATTGTTGGAAGTTACAATAGCAGTGGAAAAAGTGACTTATCACCATTTTTCACACTTACGAGTTGCAGCATCCCCATGGTCACATGATCAAAATTGGCAAGTGGCTCATATTTATGATAGTTGCAGTGTCCTGGGGTCATGTGATCACCATTAATGACCTTCTGACAAGCAAAGTCATTAGAGAAGAAAGATTCATTTAACAACTGTCTTACTAATTTAACAACTGTAGTGATTTACTTAGCAAGGGTGGCAAGAAAAATCATAAAATGGGGCAAAACTCATTTTTAACAACTATCTAGCTTAACAACAGAAATTTTGAGTTCAATTCTTGTTGTAAGTCGAGGACAACCTGTACTTACCTTGGAATTTTCCACTCTCTCTTACAGAAAATATCAAGATCACACTTCTTGCTGATCTGAAGGCAGCATTGAGCTTTTTCTCATTGACTGGAAGGGTTGACCAAACACCCTATGGAGAGATGAGCAAATAATTTACAAACCAAAAACTATCTGATGGGTTCAAGTTCAGTACAATTTTGGAATATATTCAGCAACAACATATATTTTCTATAAAGAAGACCTCAGTTTCTATCCCTGCAATTTCCAGACCCAGAGAATAGATCCAAGACAGATATCTGTCTGAGTCATAAAAAAAACTATTATCAGAAGGTGGAGACAATCGTATAATATTTAACTAAGAAAGCTTTATATATTAATACATACAAAAAAATTGGAAAAAAATCAGAAATATTCACATTTTTAGTAATCTACAGATAACATTTGTAAGTTTAAACTCATTTTAACCAATATGTGATATTCTTTCTACACCAGGGGTCCCCAACTCCTGGGCCATGGAATGGTATCGGTCTGTGCTCTTTTAGGTGTGAGGCTGCAAAGCTGGAGGTGACCGGGGGGAGGGGCAAGTGAGTGAAATTGAAACCATCCCCCTCCCCATCAGTCCATGGAAAAATTGTCTTCCATGAAACCTGTGCCAAAAAGGTTGGGTGCAACTGTTCTACACAAAGCAAAAATAAGAGAAAAAAATACAATAGGTAAGAAACTAGTTCATTATTTCTAATAGTTTGTCTGTAAAAATGCAAGCTTCTACAGATCTATTTGGCATTCCCCAAAGAAACATACCGTATTTTCCGGCGTATAAGACGACCCCCAACTTTTCCAGTTAAAATATAGAGTTTGGGCTATATCAGGGGTAGGCAACCCAAAACTCTCAAAGAGCCACTTGGACACGTTTCCCACCGAAAACAAAACACTGGGAGCCGCAAAACCCTTTTGATATCTAAAATGAAGATAAGACTGCATATATCCTTTTTTACCTTTATGATATGTGTGTGTGTGTGTATGTTTGTGTGTGTATATATAAAATAAAGGTAAAAAAGGATATATGCAGTGTTATCTTCATTTTAGATGTCAAAAGGGTCTCTCTCTCTGTCTCTCTTTCCTCTCTCTTTCCTTTCTTTCCTCTCTCTCTTTCTTTCTCTTTCCTCTTTCCTCTAACTTTCTCTCTCTTTCCTCTCTCTTTCTCTGTCTCTCTCTCTTTCCTCTTTCCTTTCTCTTTCCTCTCTTTCTCTTTCCTCTCTTTCTCTTCTCTTTCCTTTCTCTTTCCTCTCTCTTTTCTCAATCTTTTTTCTCTTTCCTCATTTTCTCTATTTCCTCTCCCCCCTTCTTTCTTTCCTCTTTCTCTCTCTTTCCTCTCCCCCTCTTTCTTTCTCTTTCCTCTCTTTCTCGCTCTCTTTCGTCTCCTTCTCTCCCTTTTCCTCTTTTTCTCTTTCCTCTCCCCCTCTTTCCTCTCCCTCTTTATCTCTTTCTCTTTCTCTCTCTTTCCTCTTTCTCTTTCCTTTCTCTTTCCTCTCTTCTTTCTCTTCCTTTCTCTTTCTTCTAACTTTCTCTTTCCTCTTTCTCTTTCTCTTCTCTTTCCTCTCTTTCTTTCCTCTTTCTCTTTCCCTCTTCCTTTCTCTTTCTCTTCTCTTTCTTTCCTCTTTCTCTTTCCTCTCTCTCTTTCTTTCCTCTTTCTCTCTCTCTCTTCTCTTTCTCTTTCCTCTTTCTCTTCTCTTTCTTTCCTCTTTCTCTCTCCCTCTCCCTCCAGGTTAGGAGAGAGAGAGAATGAAAGGCAGACGGCGCCGAACGGGCGGGGAGGGGGACCAGGCCGGGATGCAGCGGCTCTAGTGGCGGCAGCAGCGGCACGGCAGCGGCCACTGCAGCATCGTCGGGAGTCCACGCCACCCCCAGCCTGGCCGCCGCGTCCTCAGCCGAATGGGCGGGGAGGGGGAGCAGGACGGAGCCGCTGCCCCCATCGCGTCCTCAGCTGAATGGGCGGGGAGGGGGAGCAGGACGGGAGGCAATAGCTCCCGGCCGCCGCCCCCATCGCGTCCAGGGAGGGGGAGCAGGACGGGAGGCAGTGGCTCCCGGCTGCCACCCCCATCGCGTCCTCAGCTGAATGGGCGGGGAGGGGGAGCAGGACGGGAGGCAACAGCTCCCGGCCGCCGCCCCCATCGCGTCCAGGGAGGGGGAGCAGGACGGGAGGCAGTGGCTCCCGGCTGCCACCCCCATCGTGTCCTCAGCTTATATAAAGGAATAAAATAGAATACCCGTATTTTCCAGCGTATAAGATGACTGGGCGTATAAGACGACCCCCAACTTTTGAGAAGACTTTCAGGATTTAGAAAGTCGTCTTATACGCCGGAAAATACGGTACATACGTTTACAATTTGAATTCTAAGATCAAAATTGCGATTTTTCAGCAGTACATTTGTAAAATGTAAGCTCTTAAATATATGTATTATGACTCCCAGAGGCTTAAAGCATTAATTTTGCACAAAATCTGTGGGGCAATATGGGGGGGCAAACAGGAACAAAAATTTTGTTACTACCCATTCCAGTGACATTACCACCAAGTTTCCATGACTTCTGCTCTAGTTAATTTGAAACATGTGGCTGGGGGAAAATGTTACCCATTTTAAATGAGGCAATGAACCAAGAAAAAATATATTTTATTTTGCATTTATGTTTTAGTAATTATATTTATATTTAATAAAAGAAAAAGAAAATTAAATAATTAAAAAGAAAAGCAATTAATCTGATTCCACATTTTGCATATGATTTCACAGGAGTTCAACATACCTTAGCTTTGGCAAGAGAGACATTTTCATGGTTGTTACTTTTTATAAGAAAAAATCGTGCCTCTTGGAGAATATATTTAAGTTTGCTAGTTTGGTCTGGAAGGAAAAAACAAAATAGGTAAATTTTACTTGCCAAGGAAACTTAAATATAGGTAGTCTTCAACTTACAACCATTTGTTTAGTGACTGTTTGAAATTTCAATAGCACTGACAAATTGACTTATGACCATTTTTCACACTTAAGACCATTGTATCATCCCCATGTCACATGACCAAAATTTAGATGCTTGCCCAAGGACATATGTTTATTACTGTTTACAGTATCCTGGGATCATGTGATCACCTTTCATGACTTTCTGACAAGCAAAGTCAATGGGAAAGCCAGATTTAATGAAAAACTCTGCTCTAACTTAGCAATTAAGTTAGAATAACAACAGTCATTCCTTTAACAACTGTAGCAAGAAACATAGAAAAAGAGGTTAAACTCATTTAACAACTATCTTGCTTAGCAATGGAATTTTTTGGCTCAATTGTGATCATAACTCAAGGACTCTTATACTTATAGGATTTGGAGTACAAAATCTAGCTGTTGCAATGGCAAAATTGGCCTCTAGTAGGGCATATGCCAAACATGTTAAACACAAGGCCCTCGGGCCAGATCTACCTGTGATGGGTTTAGACCTGGGCTGCAGGGCGACCCTGGAGATGGCGAGGGGCCGGCCCCCGTCTCGGTCCTAGCCCACCCCTGCTCAACCAGGCGCTCTGGGCATGTGCACAGGAGGCTGTGAGTGTGCGGAGGCCGGCAGTGTCTGGCTGCAACTGCAGTTCATTGGCCCCTTGGCCGGCAGCGACGTCCAGCTGGATGTGAGCTGGGGCATCCAACAAGTCATGCTCAGCCTCACCCTGCATGCAACGCAACTGCATACTTCGGGGCCCTGCAGCCAGACTACCCCCTTCCCACCACCTGTCTGGCCTCACCCCATGGCACCGGCAGCAGCCCCGTCCAGCAGGAGCCCTGCTGCCCCTCCGCTCTCCTCCAGCCCAGCCTGTTCAAGGAGAGCAAGCACAGCAGCAGCAGCCTTGAGGAAGAGGTAAGTGTGGTCAGGCATCCCCTCAGGAAAGCAGAGCTGGGCTGGACTGTGGGGCACTGGGACTCCACAGCCCAGCCCAGCCTTGCTTCCCTGAAGGGGAGCCTAGCTGTGCTTAGCTCCTCGAGGCTGCTGCTGCTGTGCTCGCTCTCCTTGGGGGACGGCAAGGCTCCCCTGGTGAATGATGCTATGGCACTCGCCCTGGTCTCGCCTTCCTCTGCTGGAGACCTCCGGATCCCCCTTCCAAGCCTTGCCTGGTACTCAATGTGAGCTGGCCACGTTGAGCTGGCCACACCCACCCAGCCAGCCATGCCTACCTGACCCTTTGAGGGCAACTATAATGCTGATGCGGCCCTCAATGAAATTGAGTTTGACACCTCTGATCTATGCAGTTTAATCCCATGAATTCTTTCTTAATAAAAGGAAGGTCTATAATTCAAATATACAATTGTGCTTTTCAAATGAGTGAATAATATAATACCACCAAATTTAGATTTCCATACCATGCAATGTTAAACTTTAAAAGCAAAATAAGTTATTCAAGGTAGAAGCCAATGCAACATTAATAATGTTCTGATATTTTTATCTATAATAACCAACATAGCCTTAAGCAGAGAAATTATTTTTATGAAGTTTGTCTGTAAAAGGATGTTAAATTACTTATTTGTCTGCTAATTCAGTGATGAAATATTGTTTTTTCCATTAAAAACCACATGCAAATAATTTGAATTATTCAGTAGTATGCATTTTACTCTACATCGGAACATTATTTTATTTGCTATATAATCAACAAAGTCAATACAATAGCTTGCAATAGATGCATGCATTAAAAAGTTCAAATTTAAATTATACCTTTTTGGACAGCACGAACGGAAGATGATAATTTCTCATGCTTCTTTTCTGAACCTGTATTTAGCCAAAGTACATTTGTTCAGATTGAGCCTTAATAGAGATACGATACAAATTCTACAATCTTTTCACATACTATTTTCATTCATGACAAATTATTCCTCCTATGCGCACCCCCACACACAAAAAGAATGCTTCTCAATGTGCATGAGGATTTGAATTTGATTTTTTAGTTGTCTGTTTTTGAGTTTGATTTGTTAGACCAGTTTTCTATAGAGAAAACTAGTCAATGAATCATCATCTTCCAAGTTTAAAAAAGTGAAATTTCCATTTAAGCAACGTAATAGAATTAACATAAGAAAGCCCACTTTATCAAATTATTCACACAGAACATGCCAAAAAACTAACTATATCGGTTCAGCTGTATGTCCAAAGCCTATTATGGCCTACAGTTTATTTTTACCAATGCATTTCAAGGGTTTTCTACAGATCATATTAATGAAGATAAGCAATCACAAAATACCTGCATATGACTCTGATGCAGAGCTTCCACTTCTATCAAAAACAATTGGAGAGATGCCTCTAGCTCTTTTCCTGGCCTTCTTTTTCTCATCTAAGATCATCAAAATAAGCAATAGCAGTTTTTTAAAGGTTCTAACAAAGAATAAATATTTGTAAAAAAAATATGATTTAAAATAGTATATAGTTGACTCTCAAAAGGTTTAAAATCTATTTCAATGATCTTTTCTCATTGGGCCAGAATTCAGAGAACTGTGATAATAATGATAAAAGTATCAGAAATTTAGACAACTTGATCTGAACAGAAACAATACCTGTCAAAGCTATATTTGAAGCTCAGGGAAACTTCTGGAGGGTCTATGTGAGGAATGCTTCTCAAAGTTAAAAAAAAAAAGAGGATTAACCTCCATTTAGATTATCAACAATATTTCAGTTATAGGTGTAATGCATTTAAGTATATTCTTATTTATAAACATAGTTGCAAACCTAAATTAGGTCCCAATTGATACATACTAATTCACTGTAGTTGTCTCTTTTACATGACTAAAAGCCCCATCATTAGTAACAGTAATACCGGAGCAACAGAATCACATAGGAAAATCCTTTATCAATGCTGCAGATTCTTCATCAGAAATATTGAAAATTCAAAACAAAAGACAGTATGGCAGATGTCAATGTTATCTTTCCACTGTAAACATTTAGATTTTTTCTCTCCAAAGTGAATTAAAGATTACCGTATATACTCGAGTATAAGCCGAGTTTTTCAGCCCATTTTTTGAGCTGAAAAATGCCCCCCTAGGCTTATACTCAGGTCAATATTTTCCCCCAGTTCTTTGTGGACTTACAATATCCGAGCACCGTTTAAAGAGACGCCAAAGGAAGACGGTGCCCAACTGCGCGCCTTTCCCCCTTGGCGGGGTGGTCTTTTGCAAAGTCTTTTGCTCGGATATTGTAAGTCCACAGCAGCGCGGGCGGCAGCAGCAGCGGCGGCGTCTCCCGCTCCGAATCCCAGGCTGGAGTCAAGCCCTTTTCAAAAGCGCCGGCTCGGGAGCGAAAGCAAAAGGGGCGGGGGAG